TGACATGCTTGACTCGGTTTCCAGGGATAAAATGGTAACCCTAATTCTAATTTCCATCTAAAGTTGTTTAGGTTTTAAATCTTTTTTACATGAATCCATATTCGTACGTCATATACTCATTGATTTTGGTGAAATGAAGGCCAAGGTGGTGGCGAAGGTATACTGGGGAGATCCAAGGGAGAAGCTTTGTGAAGCTGTAAATCTTTTGAAACTCGATTCTCTTGTTCTTGGAAGCAGAGGTCTCGGTGCCATTAAAAGGTATGCATATGAGCATATGATCAATCCAATGAATATTGATATATAATTGAATGTGTTTTTAGGGTTTAGATGATTGATTGTGTATAAGATTTGAATGTATTCACAGGGTGTTGCTTGGGAGTGTAAGTAGCTACGTGGTGCAAAATGCGAGCTGTGCTGTAACTGTTGTCAAGTAGCTAGACATGGAGTTTTGTTGGTGTGTTTATGTATAAGAACAAGATATGCGCCCACAGAACCAGATGTTTCTAGTGTTTGGAGAGATGAAGTGCGATGGAGACGTCTAGAAGTGGGGAATATTTTGTACACTTCGTATTCTTGCTTTTTGACTGTTTTGTTTTATTTGTCATATAGAATTTGGATTGATGTGTAACCTTTGATTAAGTTATTTGTTGTTTTGCTGTTATAATCGTTATGGTTTGGGGCATATTTGGGATTGTTCTCAAAATCTTTATTATTTATTGGCTTTTGAAAAGTTAGGAATTTTTTGAAAATGTATTTTGCCGATGAAAAATCATTGCTTTCAAACTTTTTTTTTTTTTTTTTAACTTATTGATCATTTGAAAAATCATTAAGTCACAATAACTAAGTCACAATAACTCAATATTCTGCCTGAGAATGTCACGTCTCATATTTCATCAAAGTGATATTCCTAACATACGCTTCCATTCTTTCTAGCTATATCTTATAAAATTAGGTTTAAAATATATGCAATCCATGCTTTATTTTGACAATTACCACCATTTTATATTTCACTATATTAAGAGATTACCATTCAGACATTAGTTCTCGATTCGGTGCAAACGACAATCCAACTGGTTTTTTTTGTCTATATACAAAATTTATGGGGTAACAATTATAAAAGTCAAATAAAAATTAACTGAATTCTATAATTGTTCGGAATGACTGATAATTTTTGTAAAAGATTTAATCCTATTTTAAAATTAGTATTAATTATTACGTTTTGATTTCAAAACATGTGTTAATAAAAAATTTCATCGATAAATTAGCATAATATAATAATCACTATTTAGAGTTAGCAATTTTGATATATTTACTTATGTATTAGCCAATTTAAATTATGCTTTATTTTAACAATCAAATTATAAATAAAATACAAAAGTTCAAAAGAATATTAGGTTTATTACTCCAAATCCCTTTTAATATATACAGTTTCTTTATGATAAAATTAACAGTAAATGCTTAATGGTCTGTTTAAAAAGATCTACATTTTCTACGATTTATAAGCTATTTTTTGAGCCGACGAAACTGGTAAAGTGGTAATAAAAAATAAAGAAAACGTAATATTGTGTACATGAAATGGTATGCATTTTATTAATTTATACTTTTAAAAAATTATCAAAATTTAAGAAAGTATATCGTGATTACCTTTTAATTGCTTGAAATTCTTTTAAAACAATTCTTTAAATGAGGATCTTCATCAAAAAATAGCATATATCCTATTTTGAATAAAATTTGAAAGATAATATCTTTTATTTTCAATGAGATTTGAAACGATTTTCTTGTTCTTAACTTCTTATCAGGGCCGATCCTGAGATTTTAGAGACCCTGTGTAATTTAGTAAAAATATGCCTTAAAACTTGTAAATTATAAAATATAAAAAAAATATATTTTTTCATTTAACCTCTAAATATACTTCAAAACCACATTTTCATTCAAAAAAAGAAAAAATACACAAGGTATATTTGCTTCTTAAAATATCATCATTCTAGTATTCTTTGACACAAACTTTTCAATGAAGTCTTTATAAGGAATATATTTACTTCTCTTGATCTACCAAGCCAAAATTTAATAAATCGAATCAGAATAAGAAAGAAAAAAAAATCTAAAATTAATGAAATGTAAATCAAAATCTAAAATGTATAAATGACAAATATAAAAATCTAAAAGTTATATTACATTTATAGACTTGGAATGAATTGCTTTGATTAACCAAAAACAAAGTTCAAGCTATTACATCACATTATATATAGAGACAAGTAGGTAACCATTTAACTCTTACAATCTTACAACTGATAAATACAAAAGACAAATGTACCTTTAATGCAGAATTGAAGAATATAACCCTTCTGGTTCAACTTCTTAAAAAAGATTTATTTCTGTAAATTGTTTGCTAAATACAAGAAATAGCAATGTCATATGTGGTAGGGGTAAAGCAGTCATTATTTTTCTCATTATGCAATACTTTTAACCAGGGACCATTTATGTACAAAAGGACTCTTTATGTTAAAAAATTATTTAAACACAGTGATATCTTAAAAATTATTTAAGAAACATTGATAAGAACAATGACTTATGTAATGAGACTAGACTATATGTGATATCTTTGGGCAAACATGTTATTGATGCAGTTATCATATCTTGAAATAATATCATAAATCAGACATTCATTACATGAATGTATTTAAGGTCTCCTAAAAAAATTCTTCAAAATTCCAAAGAAGAAAATTTTCATGCGTTGTATGTTTTGCAATGAAAATTAATAAGAGTCAAATGCAGTTGTTATCGAATGTTTGGTTGTCTCTTAAAGATTATGTTTTTCCACACAACCAACTCTATGTTGATTTATCTAGAGTTCAAAATAAGTAAAAATAAAAATTATTAATTTTAGATAAAGATGATAAACTTATTAACAAAACTTCCAATGTTGTGCATAAAAAAGTTTTTAGAAATTTATAAACAATTTATATATTTTAATTTTTTATTTCATATTTTACTTAATTTTACTAAATCACACTTCATTCATTATTTTAATTTGTAATCTATTATGATGTATTTAGGTATGTTTATTACATTACAATCATTTTTAATTTGTCATATAACAATATCACTTCCGTGATTGTTTGTGGATTTTTTTTCACTCTATTCAAATTTATATTGCATTATACAAAATCATAAAAGTATCAAACATATACATATATAGAACGTAAATCATCTAATTTATAACAATGTATATACTAATTTAACTAATCATTATAAATTTACAAATAAAACTTTTATCTTCGCAAATTAATAAATTTTTTCAAATCTTTTATTTGTGATTACGATATTAAATTATCAACCGTTTTTTTTTCCTCAACAGTGATTTCCACGAGTATGAACCTAGTAAAGTATATATACAATTGTATTCTCGGGGATTCCTCTAGCGGATCAAACGACTATCATCTAGAGGATCAATATTTGGTAAAATATAAACATTTGATTCTATAAATTGTCAAATGTTTATATTTTACCAAATGTTTATATTTTACGGTTTGCGGTTCGGGTTTGGCCAATAACCGTATCAAACTACACCATGCTCATTTCTAGTTTTTGCAATTTTTTCTTGGAGTACATATTGGTTGTGAGGGATTGCTGCCACATTTGTTCTATGCATATGATGCTCTCTCAATGTAGGAGCGGAATGAACATGATGTGAAGAACTTTGTCACACTCATGTGTTGTTTTTATCTGATTCCAAATTTGATTATAAATCTCTAAATTAAATTTGTTTGATATTGAAGTAAGTTCAATATTAAAATGATGTTCATATAATATATAACATTAATTTGTTGCATAAGTTAAAAATAATATTAATTAAAATAAACAAACATTTAACATCTTTTATCTCTAGGTTTCTTTATGTGTGTAGCTTATAAATTAAATTTGTTAATAGAAATGAATAAAACATTAATTCGATCCATATTTTTGCATAATCTTCCTATTCTAATAAATGAATAGGTTTATTCTCCTATTGACAAATTTCATACTATTAGAAATCCTCAATAATATTATATGTCACATATCATGCCACTTGTCAACTTATTAATTATCAATTTCAAAATTCAAATTTTAAATTTCTCACTCTAATTACATTAAATTAATAATTGATACCATTTTAAATTTTAAATTTTAAATTTTTTCACTCTAATTATATTAAATTAATAACATTAGATTAAAAAATAAAAATAAAATTAATACTGATTATAAGATGATATAACTTCACGTATTTATTTAATCAACGATTATAATTTTATATAAATAAAACAATATCTCTTAACTAATAATTTATTCAAAATAATTGATTAATAATTTTGATTTTTTAATATGAAAGTTTAATTAATTTTATAACCGTGGTTCTCATGAGTTATAAACTAGTTTTGAATATACCAAACATAGCTGTACACGAACTGAACGTTAGCAAACTGTTCGTGAACAGTTTGACAGGAAGTTCGTTTATGTTCGTTTATTTAATAAATGAATGAACGCGAACACAATTTTTTGTTTGTTTAGTTAAACAAGCGAACATGAATAATAGTCTCGTTCGTTCAATTATGTCCGTGAACATTTGTTTATGTTGTTTATTTATGGTCGTTCATTTAAATCTCTTTTATGTTCATATATGTTCAGTTCTGTTTGATTACATTACTATATTATATGTTTAATTATGTTTTTTTTTCATCTCTGTTTATTTAACATGTTCACGAATACAAACGAACGAATATGAACAATGTAATTTGTTAAACGAATGAACATGAATTTTTTATTCGTTCCTTTATTTGTTCGTATTCATTCGTTTGTTCGCCTAATTTAAACGAATGAATATGAACAAACCTTCGTTCGTATTCGTTCGGTTCATTTAGAACCAGGAACAATCTTTACCCATTTAACTTTCATTCGGTGGCCCAACCCGGAACGGAAGATACATATGGTTTTGGGTGCGGGTACGTAGTAAATTCTGGCACCCCAGGGTTCTTCATTCGAATTCATTTCATCTCATTTATAAAATTTTAGCACAATATCAATTTTAGGTTTGTTGCTAAATTAGTTTACAGATCCCTGATTTTTGTTATTGTGCTTCATATCCTACGAAAAATGTTCATGTAATTATACGTGGTGATTGCAAAACAAAATCATTGAGCATGTCATTTGCTAGGCTGTATGCAAGATCCTCTCAGTTATCTTCCCTTTGCAAAACCCTAAACCGCACCCCTGTCAACTCGAGGTATTGCGTCACGACTCACGACTTGCTATCGTTCCACTAATTACCTGCTGTATACGTGTTATTGTTTCGTGTTTTACTTATATGAATATATCTACACACTCGAATTGAATCCGTTTAATCAAAATTAGAATATAAATTCTCCGTTTTGCTACTTCTGGATCACAAATTTCTTATGCTCCCATTGGAGCGACTAACATTATGTTAGGTTTCATAAACCTAATCACTTTTCCACCAATTTGGAACCGAAAATCATCATCTAGGCTTTCTGTTATTGAATCTCAGGGGTGTTTGGATATGCGTTCAAACCTGAATTTCTAATTATTTAGGGTTTGAACATGATTTTCTGAATTAGGTCAAAATGATCAGATATGGACATGCTTTAATCGTGATTAAGCCATTGTTGTTGATTCAGGTCTCTACTCGAAGCTGGACAGAGAAGATATAGTTTTGTGGGAGCTAGTAGTTCAAAACATAACCAATTCTCCTCTGAATTTCGAAATTTCACCTCTAGATCTGCACATAATACGAACTCTTTCAACAAAAGTTCCCATTTGGGAAATGGATACTTCAAGACACCTTTGGGTTCTCATCGTCAGTATGTTACAAATGTCATTAGAGAACAGAAATCAAGAAAGATGCTTTATTACTTAACAGGTTTAGTATTTGCAATGGTGGGCTGTACTTATGCTGCTGTTCCTCTATATAGAAGGTTTTGTCAAGCCACCGGCTATGGAGGTACTGTTCAAAGGCGTGAGGTATGCACAAAACTTTCTGATTTTATTTCTTTTCAATTTCATAATTTACATTTTTCTTCCATAAATTTGTTTTTTCTTTTCACTCCGCAGACAGTAGAGGAAAAAATTGCAAGACATTCCCAAGATGGAACAGTTACAAATAGGTGTGTAATTTCAACTTTCAAGAATCCAATGAAATGATCTCCTTTTTATGTCTTTTATGTTATACTTGTTTCTTAGAAGATTTTTGATGTATTGTTACAGGGAAATTGTGGTGCACTTCAATGCTGACGTGTCAGATGGAATGCCATGGAAATTCATCCCTACTCAAAGAGAGGTTGAATTGAAAAAAATAAAGTAAAAGTGGTTGAAATTAAATAACAAAATTGACCAGAATATAATGAAAGGAAAAATAAACAAGGGCAAATTTGTAAAAAGTAAGTGATTATATATTTATTGATTTATGTTGTGTATATATAGGTAAGGGTAAAGCCAGGTGAAAGTGCTCTTGCTTTTTACACTGCTGAAAACCGTAGTTCAACTCCTATAACTGGCATGTCTACATATAATGTTACACCAATGAAGGTAATTAAATATAATGTTACAAGTTTAAAGGGTAAATGTGTCATTTTGTAAAAAAATTAAAAGTTTATGTGGATGTTCAGGCTGCTGTTTATTTCAACAAAATACAATGCTTTTGCTTTGAGGAACAACGGCTTCTTCCGGGAGAGCAGATTGATATGCCTGTAAGTAAATGGTCTAAAATACCCTTTGTCCCATGAAAACTAGTTAACTACATTATTTTGATTTTTGACTTTGCATATGGTCTAAAATGCCCTTGGAACCAAGGACTTAGAAGCAATAACATCACGAATGTGTAATAATCACAATATGCAAGTTAGAGTGTTAGACTTTTTTAATTGCTAAAAAATGAAATGTTATGCCAAAAGACTAAAATGCCCTTCATTGTAGGTGTTCTTTTACATAGACCCAGAGTTTGAAACGGATCCTAGGATGGATGGTATTAACAATATAATTCTTTCGTATACATTCTTCAAGATTGCTGAAGATAAGTTATGATTTTTTCTCTCTTTGATTATTTTGTTTTTCTATATTGTAGTCATGCAAACACTTTGTATCTTGATGTTTATGGATGCCAAAGTCATTGAGAATAAGTATGACCAATTGATCTATTTATGTATCTTATGCATTAATGAGTTGTACCTTTTGCATCTAAAGGGTACAAATTTACTCCATTATGCACATTTAGAGTTATGAATTGGTTATGATTGTATTTATATGATTATGCAATCATATGGTGTAAATTTGAAACTACATTGCTTTCATGAGTATTTACATCTATAGTATTAATGGATAAAATCTCAAGAACTAAATGGTTTAATGCAATTGAGGATAAGCATGAATGTAAATATATTGTCTATTATGACAAAATAACAAAGTATAGTATCTTAATTAGAAATGCAATGTATGAAATGCTAGGAAGTATTTCACATAGTAATTGAAATTAGTGTAAATGTGATACCATATGAAAATAAGGGAATTTATGTTGAATGATTCGGATGAAATCATTGTTGAAGATTATTAACCCAAATCAAAGGTGTATTAACATTCTTTTGTTACTTTAGAGAGTTATGCGATTACTATTAGAAGTCCAATGAAATCGTAAGGTGTATATGATAATCAATGACATGGTATCTCTATGGACAATGTATATTATATCCACCTTCCTTAAAATGTATTTCGACTATATGCATGGGTTAATGAAATCGTTCGCATGATAATCCAAAGAGGCAACTTCGATTTATTGGCACAAAACATGAGGAAGAACATATATTATATCATTGTGTGTGGTTTGAGATCTTCAAAGAGACCAAAAACATGGTATTGCATATGTATATGTTTATGTATACACCAATAACTACCACAAATGTATGAATGTTATTAATGGTTTTGAATACTAATGTCGGTTAAAGTTGATCCCATAAGCTAGAGATTGGTGGATCTTATGTGTAAGAAACAAATAATTTTTTTGTAGTGCTAAGTATATATAGGAACATACAAGGTCATACATAAAAAACAATTATAGATATGGAATAAATAGTTTATTTATTTATAAGAGATAAATTAATTATTCAACAATCATGCCAAACTAACTTTTTTTTTTGGAAACGGACGAGATTTTATAAAGAAGACCCCGCAAGCAAGAAACTAAACGAGGGTTAAGGAAAAAAATACATATTAATAAAGTTCAAAAAATATTGAAGGGATATACCTTCCATTCCTCCCAACTACAAATTCCTTCCAACTACAAATTCCACCATTACCCCTACATTTGATCCACAAATAAGCTAGCGACTTTGTGTTCTCGACCGCTTTTGTAGGATTGCTTGCACACCTCTGAAAGAGTCGATCGTTCCTTGATTTCCACAGGACCCATAGCATACCATAGCAAATTGCAATGAGTCTCTGTCTGCGCTTTGAGTCTCTTCCCCACTTAGCTGTAAAATCAATAAGCTCACCCACATTTTGTACTTCAATAGAATCAATCTTACACCACCTGAGAATTTTATCGCGCGCCAAACAAGCAAATGGACAACGAATAAGTATGCGATCAGCTGGAGCTGGTTTACACATGAGCCACAATACATGGAATCAATCGGGATATTCCTATGAATAAGTGCCATAGCAGAAGGAATACGTCCCTGAACTGCTCTCCAAACAAAACCTAACACCTTTATAGGAATTAACTTGCACCAATTGAAATGTTTATTAGTTATCTACTATAATAAATGCTCTACTATTCTACTATAATAAATGAAGATCCATTCAATTTCTTATGAGTTTTGATACTTGTCATTATATTTTTAAAATAAATAATATCCACATGTCAATTCTGATTTTTTCAAATTTTAAAATTAAAATGTCACATAATACTTATACTTACATATGTAAACTATTAAATGTAATAAATGTGATAGTAAATTGCAATTAGTAACTTTCTTTATTTCTTATTTCTTATTTTATTTTAAAAAATACTTATTGTTTACACTTTGTTATTTAATATTTTTTTTAATCAACTCGTGTAATTCAAGAGTCTTACACCTAGTTTACTAAATAAAATAAAACAAACATATATTTATTAAGTAATAAAATATTTTATTTATTAGATTCAGTCAATTAATTAATGGTTTTGCAAACTTAATGGCTTGAGGGGTTTTGAAAATGATCTATCAATTAGGGAGGAGGGAGTCGTTCCCTCCCAACCCACTGCCACATCAGTTTTTCTCTTTGATTTTTCTTCATCTTTCCCAACCCACAACACACGGAAATCCTATCTTTCTCAACCCACTCAATTAAAAAAAATACAAAATAATAAAGGTAAAATCTTAATTAGCAATAGAGTTATCGCCGGTACCACTCTCTCCTTAGCCGGTTGTTTAATTGGTTTCACGAACCCACTTCATCCTCTCTCTCTACTTTCTCTCTCTCATTTTTTCTTGTACCTTGTGTTTTAAGATTTGTACCTTAGTTGTTTAGTATTTTTTTTAATTGAGTGGGTTGAGAAAGATGTGACAACCCGGAAACTTCAATCTTGTTCACTTAGTCAATTCAATCAATATTCAACTTGTTTTGTTGATTTCTGGTGCTATTTAAGGGTTTATTTAAGTGTTCTAAGCTTGTATATAACCAAGGTTGAGTTTTAGGAATGAGTCAGAGTGTTGAATAGTGAGAAAATCGGGCCATACACACCTCTTGGAGGAGTGTACGGCCGTACACATGGGTGTGCGGCCGCACACCCACTCCCTTGGCAGCACACCCACTTTTGGGCAGCACCCTTACCCCTATATAAAGGGTAGCCCCCTTCCTTTCATTCCTTTAGCACCTTGGCAGCACACACCATCATTTCCTCTCAAGTTTCTCCAACTTTGAATCTTCCAAAGCTTCAAGAACGTGAGTACTTCTTCCTCTAGCTTACAATCCATGAAAGACCACTCTATCCAAGCTCTATGTGTGCAAAAACGACATGTTCTTCGTGTTTGGAAGTGAGTGCGGCCGCACACCCTCTTACGGTGGCCGCACACCCCTAAAACACCCTCCAAAGTGAGAGTTTAACTTCCATATTCGATGTAGATGTGCCCCTAGCCTTGCTACACCTTGGAATGGACTTTTGGGCATCATTTTGAGGAGTGTACGACCGCACACCTGTGTATGGCCGCACACCCCTTGTGCGGCAGCACACTCCAAGTGTGCGACCACACACTCATTCTAGGACCATAAACCCACTTTTAGGACCCTTATCTTGCACTACAATTGAGTATTGACCTAGAACACTTCGTGGATGTGAGTGTGGACCTTGAGAACACTTCGAAGACACCTCATTTCATGAGTGTACGGCCGCACACCCATTGGGCCGCCCACTCATGGCCGCACACACACTCTAGGTGGCCATACACCCCCTACACTCAATCCTACAAGGTCCTATCACTTGGTGCAAATAGTTTCAAGCCCCTAGAGAGGTTTTCAATCACTTATAGTGGTGAAATACCTTCATTTGACTCGTTTATGTGTCATTACATGTTATTAGGATCGAATCGTGTTCAAGGCTTCACTTGAACACCCGGCTCTTCGTATCGATCCTTCAATCAAACCACTTACCCGAGGTGAGTTCATACCCCTACTTTCTCCGTGTTTTTAATGTTTTTAGGGGGAGGATACAAGCTGAACATAAATGCTTTCAAAACTCATGCAATTCTCATACTTTCACCCCTTTTGTACTGTGTTGATCATAAGGGTTATTTTTCATTGCATAGTTTTCCGGATTCGCTATTCACTACATTATACATGCAAACTATAATCGGTATAGTTTGGGATTTTCTAAATATAACAAGTACAGGAATTTTCACTATTAAACATATGCACTAAGACATAAATGGTTTACAGTTTACATCACTACATTATCACTATAAATATCACTATACACGGTATACATACGGATTTTCACTATGGTAGAACGCTACTACACTACATGTAAACTAGATTGTACGATACTATGAGGCACTACTTCAATACTGTACCCTTAGGTGTACAGGGATAAATCCTATCATAGTATAACCAGAGTCTCCTGGAGGGAGAGCGTGAGATTTGTGAATAGATCTATTCGGGACTGACAATCCCACACCCGAACTGCTAGCTACAGTTAGGCAGGCATGCCTGGGGTGACAAATGTCATTTAAATCGATGCCTGAAGAACGTTGGAAAGGTCTCTAGTCATATAAAGCATTGTTATACGACTCACATTATGCATAAATCACCTTTAGTTTACAACCTGCCACTCTTCAATGGTTTTATTTATACTAAATAGAACTAAAATACACTATGTATACTGGCTAAAGCCAGGGTTTTCAAACATAATTGATTATGAAATGGTTTTACATACAAAATACTTATACTTAATGATTAGCTTTAGCTAGTCACATGGGGGTAGTATTTTCGCATATCACTATAGTTTTCAGTAACGGACATTCATGGTTTTATACGGAGTCAATAACACTACATCTTCATTAAAGAAAATATCGGATTTTCTTGAAAATATACAAACATTTCTGCTAGCTCATCAACAAGTTTTCATTACAAACTACTGCTTATGAACTCACTAGCTTTATGCTGATATTTTCAAACTGCTTGTATTCTCAGGAAATCAGTAGACAGGTACCTGCTGGGTTTTTGAGGAGTTGGAGCAATAAGAGTTTATTGTTTATATTCATAAAAACTATATGATGTAATCCAAACAAGTTTCTGATAATTTCCAAATTGATGTAAACATTTTTATTTAAGTATTCAATGTAATGGTTGCGTTGCTATGATTGCTATTATACATTGGTTGTGATGCTATACATGACGTCCTCCACCCCAGAACGTTTCCGCCATTCTGGTTTTGGGGTGTGACAGATTGGTATCAGAGCCCTTGTTTATAGCGAACTAGTATACCGAACCTTACATGGTATACAACTATAAACACTAAAGGGGCCTAAGTGCTCTACACTAAAAGTCTACTTTCCAAAACTATAAGTATTTTTATAAAAAGTATACGGGCATGCATACATAACAGAATTCGTGTCATTAGTGGAACAACACAAAAAGTATTTGGATGTTGGGACACTGCGGTCAAACCTGGGCAGTTATGTAATCATGTTTTGGGCGAATATAGCCTGATCAACTATATTCAGTCAAAACATGACCAACGTGTGCTTTGGAGTGACGGTGGTGTTACAGCAGGCCTAAAACTTACCAAAAACTTT